AAAGTAAAGGGAACAAAGAAAAAAATAAACAAGCTGTGAAACAAATTGCTTCCTGCAATATAATTGAGAATACATGTGAAAAAAGTCATTATTTATGTAACAGGACGACATTCTTTAACTTTAATATGACTGTTTGCACCAAAATCTGCTATTTTCTGTAACTCTAACCCTTTTGACAAGATTGGACGTGTGCTATTAATATCTTACATGATGTCATTTACTTTGGATGGACTTTCATTGGTTACTTAAAAATGTCCACGTCATTCATCATTTGTCTAAAATAACAAATGAATATTTCTTAAGCCAAAACACAACTTAATGAGCTTAATATACTCCAGCCCAGGTTAAGATTTATTGCATTTTTTTTGGCTGTGTCTACCCATGTGAGCACATGGATATACATTTCATCCCTGCAGGCCCCTTCGCGCTGGTGATCCCGAAATCAATTGGTTCTTTCAAGTGGTACAATGAGGTTTCTTCAGATTGGCTGCCAGGGTTTAGCTGTGCTGCCGCACGTGTTCTCTCTTTCTCGCCATTTAACGCACTCAAACACCCATTTGCTTCCATGCCAAGGATTAGATAAGAAGATCGATACCACTGTTACTGTACAGCTCTGAATAGCTATGCAGGTGTAACCAGGGAGACAGTTAGCTTCCTCCTCCTCCTCCTCCTCCTCCGCATCCTCATTTTGCTGTCTAATCTTATTACAGAAGGAATTGAGACCGATTTGCCTCAGTGGCCGCTCGCCCCAAAGCGCTGCCCAACGCCCGCCTGGAAAATAAGGACAGCCATTGTGCTGCTGCAGGAAGTCAAGCATGTATGCTTAACCAACACACTTAGCAGTCTTAGCCATCGGGACCCCGCCGGGTACGGGAGTTTTTTTTGGACGCTTACACTTTGTGACATCCTCTGTCCTGTCCGAGGAGGAGTTGATGTGCAGAGTGAGCTGCCTGCTCTCACGAGACCCCTCAGACCGGATTTATGGTACTAAACATGTACTTGGATTTATTTAATTTAAAATGTACACCCGCAAACCAGAGAGCTCTGCTTTTCTGGCTCTAACTGTGAACGGACTTCCACTCCCTGTGTTTAACCCACGTCACTAGACCAAGGGGTCAAGATGATCTGCTAATGTTAAACCTTTGACCCCAAATGTCGAAAGGTGCGATAAAAGGAGACGTGAAATGAAGCAGAATAAAACAACTCAGCTGTAAAGTTTGACATGGGCTTGATGTGCTTATTACAGCAAACAGTTAATTAAAGAGGGTGGGTTTTTCTGGCACGGACACATGTCTAATTTACAGACAGACATGATATCTGTGTAAATGGAAGGTTAAAGAAGTGGCTTTTGTTTGCATTACATAAGACCGTGCCTCCTGAAGCCCGTGGCAGCAAATCCAGAGACCTGAGGTGGGAGGGAGGGGAAACATCACAACCGGAGTTGAAAGGCTGTCAAAGAGGGTTAACGTCATGATACCTTTAATGGAGATGGAGTCACGCCTTCCTTCCTTAATGGCTCTCCTACTGAACTCAGTCTGCATCTCAACGCTCCCTGTTCCAGTCCCTCCTCGGCATGAATGAAGCGAATGGGCTTCAAACATTCCTTCCCTGTTCTCATAGACGTACACTGAGACCTGCATTCATCACCTCTCCATGCACCATTACTCCCAGTGATGGGAGGAAAGAAACAACACTTTCATTAGCAGGTCCGCTCCGCTGAGGTGTGGAATGTCCCGCGGGTTTCCAACAACGGCCTTCATATGACCATTGTTGTCCTCAACAAGCTCACTTAGTGTAATGGGCAAGGCTGAGCTCGCTCTTCAAAAGACGAGGGGCACCGGGCAAGAATAAGAGCAGTCATGCTTAGCCAGATTAGGGATCTGAGTTTAGAAAGCATAATTCATTGTGGTTTGAAAAAGAAATAATGAGCTCAATGGGATTCATTTATAGCGGCAGGGAAAAAATGGACACATCCCCTTAAAGATGAAAAAACAGCAGCCTATTTGTAAGGACATCCTCTTATTGCCTATCGATTTAACAGATATACAATATATAACAATATTGGAATGGCTGTAAAGATGAACATAATAAAAAAAACATAATATCAGGCTTTGATTTTAGAGAAGATTCCAGTTACATCTTACACCAAAGGCCGAATGTTAAATGATCATTATATATTTTTTACCATCAGACATCAAAATGCCGCCGTGGGATCAAAAGCGTCCCGCCCACGAGCCAAGGCAGCAGATGTCACACAAACTACTAAAGTTCCCAAACAACCATTCAAACTGTTCTATCGGAGTAATATTAAGCCTATTGTCACCTCAAACTTCTTCACAACTGGACTGCGAAATGACTCCAGAAGAGAAAATCACGCTCAAATCCATTTAACCCGATCAGGTGAACACAGACTTTAAGAAAGGCGAGCAAGTAGTGAAATGTTCCCGATACCTAAACATGAAACGTTATATTTTCCATTTGCCTTTCCGCTTTCCTCTAAAGTCTGTGTCGTGCCAGATGTAAATGGCCAGTGAAAACAGACTATTAGAGACCCTGGATATGGTTCTCCAGTTGTAGCCTCGTTAAACAGTACTTTCAGTTAATAATGGCGTCTGAGGCGTTGTTTCACCAAGAGTGTATCTCACTCACCACGCTCTATCTGGACATTTTACACTTGAGTTGAGCCAAAAGTCTTTGAATGAGAACCGTGAAAGACGACGTTGATTGAAATATCAGGCGGGCTGCTTCAAGCCGGCCCGGTTAAGGCGTCCGTCAAGCTGCTGGTGATTGGAACGAAACCAAGTGTGGAAATTATGGAGTGCCAAGCTGTGTGTGCTGTGCTGGTGCAGTGTCAGGGTAGGTCCTTTCTGGGACACTAGAATCCATTGTTGAGCCCTCTGGAAACTGTGATGAGGTTTCTCTCTGTTTATAGACCCTGTTGACAAAACCCAACTTCTGTCACCGGATTTCTTCCTGCGACATCCGTGACAAAAAGCCCCCACGTTTAACCACCAGAATGGTCTTCCAAGAGACGAGTTTGACCACTTGAAAATGATGTGTAATGGCCTGCTACCTTAGGAAGGTGTTCAACCTACGGCTGCCTCGTCCATGGGCTCTCTAGCTACGCCATAGCTGATGGAGGCCTCCTCAAAACTGCTAGATGTTTTAGTCATGAAGATTCTACCAACCTTCTGCTCAGCACGATCAGCTCTACTCTTACAAGGTCACAGTTTGCACAATGAAATGCTCCAGACTGTAAAGTTTCACAATTTCACAGGAGAGGTCTCCGATTTAGCAACAAGGCGAAAGTCACCAAAGTGCAATTTGTACGTGAGTGTGTAGCCCGCAGAGTGAAGTCAAATAACTACAATGGGGATTATGTGGATGGCTGGAATCCGACACTGGACCACAAATTCCAGCACGTGCCATAGGTAGCTATGGCGGGGGTACCATTAGCATGAATCCAGCTTCAAAAGACACCAACAAAGAAAGCGTGATTTCATTGTCTACCGAAAAAGGTTTCAGTACTTCACTACTAAAAGACCTCGGCTGCATTAAAACGCCACAAGAAAGTGTTGCATCTAATGTGCCATAATTGAGTGTGAGACTGCCTGAGCACCCGACTTCTCGGTGAGAAGTGAGAGTGCTTCCTCTGCAGAGGCGCGCGTGTGTGCGTGCGTGCGTGCGTGCATGTGCGTTTTGTGAATAGCGTCATGTCATGTCACGTGTGTTTGCCATGACAAAAACATTGCCCCGTTCTTCATCCGCGACTCGACAGAATGCTAATAAAAGTGCAGCCGGTGAGGTTTTTGGCCGAGACTTTGCGTCTGAGGGGCCGGCGAGGCCTGCTTTAAAATAACAACACTTAAAGCTTCTGGGTGTTGGGAGTAAGTGGTCAAGTGTAATCCCCTTAGCTCCTGACCAGCATTAGCAAGAAATTCCTCAATAATGCGCAACATGATTTCATAGTGACTGCTGCTTTTAAGAAGTGTTTGTAATACTGGAAGGGTGAGTGAGGGTCTCAGACGGACAGGCAGACAAGGGGACTTAAGTGGGCGGATTCCTTTTTTTTTCCTGGAAATTTCAGACTCGAGTCATTAAGATCCATTTTTTTTTAATAACAAAGAACGCGGCGGAGCACGTCTGAATGTTTGTACAGCTGATTACTGAAGCCACACCTTTCTCCACTGGACTACGCCGCGGCACAGAGAGGAAAAGACAAATCTATGGGCCTCTGTTATGAGAAAAAAGAACGAATGTCAATGTGTACAGCTGCTCATTTGTATTACGCATCTTAGTGCTGGCGAATTCTAGAATATGTGAAGCTGAGTAGTTTCGGCGTTGAGTTGATTGAAAATAAATGTAACAAGCGTTAAAGGCGGACCCAGCAGCTCCTCCATGAACACACACTGGCTCCACCAATCGTATTCTTCTAACACTTTGCCAAATATTATGATCAAAATCAGCCAATGCCAGGTGCCAATCCAATATCAATTACCAAAGACAGCTGGACTAGACAGCATGAATATGGAGGTTGTAAAAGTCGAGGGCAGTCGCTGTAAAACTTTGAGTATCCTTTCGCCTGACATGAAATGAAAGGGAACCAACGTCCACGTCCTTCTGGAACATAGTTGAGTTGTAACAGTAACTACTGAAGGACCTCTCTGGCAGGACACAATGAGTTTTTTTTTTTTTTCCAGCTTTGAAAAGAATCTTTTTGCATTCCGCGAGAAAGAACTTTGGATGCACTTTTAGGAAAAAATGCACCACACCAAAACTGGTTCATTTGATTGGTATAATAAACGTCAAATGAGCACTGATCATGTGGTGGTTTCTACTAACGCACTATATAATGGAAACTGTTCTTTGTAGAGCTTATTGTGCCCGGAGTATGCTGCCCACCCACCGACATCAAAAGTTGGTGATCAGAAGTCGGTCTAATGTACTTCTACACTGAACACAAAAACACACAGCGCCGCAGCCAGTACAGTGTCACTCACCTGGGAGAAGTTGAGCCCGTTGAGTGGATGGCACTGCTCCTCCACCTTCTCCACAGCCCCCGTCCTCTTCCTCATCCTCTCCGCCTCCTGCGCCAGGTACAAGTCCAGCACCGGCACCCCGCGCGTCTTAATATCTGCCTCGGTTAAGGAATTCACCATCAGCATCACCCAAACGGGCCGCTTCCTCTCCCAGTTCCCGGCGATGGCGTTGAAGAGGTAATCGGCGTAGAGCCCCTTGCCTCTCTGATCCGGGGTCATCCACGAGGGCATCATGAGTTTTACATACTCGAGGTGTCTCTTGAGTCTCCGGTAGATGTCTCTGGGCAGGACGTCCTGCAGGTTCTCGCCCTGAGGGAGCAGCTGGCAGCTGGTCAGTGCTGAGATGGTGTACGGGTCCGTCAGGTCCAGCTCAAAGTAGACGATGTTGCTCTCCTGGAAGGCCTGCTTGGAGTTCTCAGGAATAAAGTCCCAAACGCGCGTGTAGGGAACGTGGATCGTACCATAGAAGTATGAGGGCGGGTCCCGTTTGATTGTCCACAGGAAGGAGTTTAGGTCAGTTTGCTGGGGGGGGAGATAAGAAGCAACAAAGTATTAAATTTAGTATGATTTTATGCTGATTAATGTCTTGATAGGTGGCAAAAATGTGTTCAATATAACCAAGAAGTTGCCTTCAAATTGCTTGTTTTTGTGACCATTTTGGACACAAATATAAAACACAAATATATATATATATATATATATATATATATATATATATATATATACATAACACAAACGTTCTCATTACTGAAAGCTGATTAGTGAAGGTATTATCATCAAAAAAGTTCCATTCTAGTTGTAAATATTGCTAAGTCAGAACCAAATGATTGCCATTTAAAAGAGAGAAATCAGGAAACACGCGTGGAATCCACAAAAGAAAAGCGACACTGGGTTTTATACTCAAGTTGCTTCGGGCCATTTACTTTACAGGAACCAACACTCGGCCTGTCTGGCACCATCCGGCAAACGTTGTCTGCGAGAGGCTGTTTATTAGACGGACTGCTAACAGACTGATAATGACTTATTAACAGGCCACTTAGGACCCCGGTGCCAACAAACAATACACAAGTCAGCGGTTGTCAGACTGTGAGCCTCTGCGTGTTTCACCGCCCTGTCTCTGCCGGATCCCACCTGAGACGCTCTGTGTGAGTGCAAACAACGTGCAGGAGTGATTGCCGGGTAATCATTAAAGGGAAGGGTTATTAATCTGAGCCATTTGTATACAACACAAAAACAAAAGGACAGAGTTAACCTTGAAAGGAAGCCTCTTCCCCCAAATACACACAGCCAGAGTGTCTGAAATGCAATACACAAGATAGTGCTGGAACTATTTAGCGGTTTACGATGAAGCTCATGTTATCTTATCAATCACAACCAATGGTACTGCTACTAACTGTTAGTTACATGGTCAATTGTCATTATATGACTCATATTTGAGTTACTATGCGGGTTTTGGACTGTTGTTCACTAAACTAAAACAATTTGAAGACAACCTGTGGGAATGTGGAGCTTTTAATGGAAATTATTATACAGCCTTTTAACTCATTACGAACTACAAAAGGATTTAAAATAGATAATGATACAAATAATAAATCAATAATGAAATCAATCATTAGTTACAGATCTTAGTAAAACACAAGGGTTTCAGGGAACCAGGTTGATTTGACCATTTACTCTTCATCCCTGCAAAGTGGGAAGCAGCCTCACAAAGTGAGGGTGCCCAGTGCGGTGCCACTGGACAAGAAGTGTTGAAACAGTAGCAGAGAGAGGAAGACAGGATGCTCCTTTACTGACACTTTACACTTCAAGGTAAAAAGAAAACCGGGTTGTTGTTGTTTTTAGAGGAAAGTTACACTTTGTAATGACTTACTTTCTTGTTGAGTTCGCAGTTGTCGGAGTCCTTCAGCCTCCACTGGTCAGCGCGGACCAGCAGTATCACGCAGGACTGAATGAATGCGCACAAAGTGCCCCGCATCGTAGCTCCCTCCATCAGTGTGCACCTCGCACACGTGTGCTGGCAGCGACGGACAGATGAAGCGGCTTCACCTAATCGCACAGCTTGTGTGCGCGCGCGCTGTGGACCCCCAAGTACTCTGTCGAACAGCCGGACAGACGCGTGCGTTCCCGATCCCCGTGCATGCACGAGCTGCAGCTCTTTCAACTGTCTTTGAGAGCGAGGGGGAGAGCGAGCTTGGGTTCTCTCTTTTGACAGAGAGAGAGAGAGAGAGAGAGAGAGAGAGAGAGAGAGAGAGAGAGAGAGAGAGAGAGAGAGAGAGAGAGAGAGAGAGAGAGAGGTGGTCACCGGAGTTTACGCAGGGGGTCGCATTACCTTCTCACTGGCGCACTCTGCGCACTCTGCGCACTCCGGAGTTTTTTTAGCGCAATGTTTTGCAACAACAAACAAAAAAACAAACAAACAAAAGATGTTTGCGCGAGTTTTAATTCAAAAGCTGGAAGGTTTCGGGTCGGAGTGAAACGGCGGTGTCATTGCACCGGGAGCTGTGAAGGTAAAGAGTGAAAATACAAGAAATAAAGTCCAGGCCAGTGCGGCTGATGAAGATGAGCCTGGTGGTGTGGACTTTAAAAGCCAAACTTCTCCCAAACACACGCTCTGTCTGTCTGTCACACACACACACACGCACACACACACACACACACACACACACACACACACACACACACACACACACACACACACACACACACACACACACACACAGAGCAAAACTCCATCCACCTCGTTCATGTCAATAAACATGGTGTGACCATTAAGACTTACATGTAAAGGTTATTTTCATGAATAGCCTGGAAAATCATATCCTTTACCCCTGAAGGCCCTGCGCTCTCCTGCTGTCACGACCCACAGGAGGCCCGCGGGCCATCGAGGGTGCCAGTGGAGATCCCGTGGATAGATTATCGCGCCCTGGTACTTAATGCCTGACAAACCGGAGGCATTTGCATGTGAAACGGCGCTTCGCTGGTGCGATTCATCCCATCACGGACGCGGAGAGCACAGAGCTCCATCTTCTCGTGAAGATGAACGAGATAAACAGACCTCATCGACTCACCGCGATGAGAAGCCTCAGATGTGGGACCCTGTCGGAGCCAGAACAGTAGAACTGTTGTAGCCTTTAAACGGGCTCGTTCTCGACAGTGAATCACGATGCAGATGCATTTTGGCTACATTTAAGGTGTCTTAAAATATCCATTTGGGCCAGATCTTCCAAGAAGTCCACTTGTGTAATCAGGACCCATGAATTTAACGGGACCATGCTCACGCTCCCCCTAGCGGACACACGCATTCATTTACCAGTTTATTCTCTGGTTTATATCAACTTTAGGGCTGTAACATCTGCGTGCTTGGTTGAAATGTGTAACATTGAAGGAGGGAGATAAAGGCGAAGAGAGGACGGAGGGCAGGTAGATACAGTGAGCTAAAGAGCTTTAGATGTGAGTTTTTTTCTATTATTTCTTTCATTCTCAAACTGGGTAATAAACACATACTCACAAAGTGCACAATACATGTACATTCGTTGATTGAGATGTCAGCAGATAACCTTAAAGAACTTTTCTCTTTTCTCTCAAATGCACAGTTCATTTGTGAACTGTGCATTTGAAAAACGTTTGTTTTTGTTACTACAAATTCCTTCACAGCCTACTGATTTGTGTCCAAGATGCTGCAAGATCACAACAAAAGGTCAAAATGATATGATGACTGTGTGTTTGTTTGTGTGTGTGTGTGTGTGTGTGTGTGTATGTGTGTGTGTGTGTGTGTGTGTGTGTGTGTGTGTGTGTGTGTGTGTGTGTGTGTGTGTGTGTGTGTGTCTGCATCTGCTCATCTTTGTTGTGCATCCGTACAAAGGTGTAAAGAGAACCTGCAGCTGCTTCCTCTTTAATGTCTGAAAAGGTGGAGAAGGTGACGTTTATAAAGGGACATCTGTGTGCAGCCACACGCATACGCACGCATACACACGCATACACACGCATACACACACACACCACAAACCCCATAGAGACTATTCTCCAATCGACACAGGACCTGTTAACCACTGTTAAGTGAAACATTATTTCAGCTCTTCGCTCACACTAAATTTAGGATGAAGTCTGAGGTTTACGAGCAAAGTTTTTTTTTTAAGAATAAAACGATGTGACACGTTGCTGTGGGGAGGGGGGAGGGGGGGTGATGAGTAAAAAACTGACCTCATCATTTGAGTTGGAACAAGTTTATTCTTTTCATGTAACTAGAATTTGCAATACCCTTAAATGTGTTATTTTATCATGTTCGTTTGTATCATAGTTTTTTCATTTTGAAGCACACGTTTGATTCAAGCTTAGACAACATATTGTGCACAAAACAAACCTTTTTTTGTTTTTTTCAAACAGTTCTTGCTCCTGATGTTTAATAATGAATCAATTTATGAATACAATTTTGGAGTGAATTCAGTTGTTGTGTAACCCTTTACATGCTGTGTAACAGGTAATTGAAAACACACCAAATACTATTTTAGAGAAGGAAACCAGGTGAGGGATCCACAACCAACAAACTCCAACGTTTAATTTATTTGAATATATTATTCCTATTATTCTGTGGAAAGGGAGTCTGTTTGAAGCCTGTTAAGGACAGTTACCCCTGTCAATAATGATGCTACGGCACATCTGTACATTTCCACTTTAAAGTGTTTGTGCAGATCAAACAGTGGTCGGTTCCACAGAGGGTTCCCGAGCAAACATCTGATTCCGCCTCTTTAGAGAGATCTTCAAAAGGATTTGACAATATGGAAATGACCACATATGTTTCATTTTATAAAAAGTGGGAGGTGGATGTATTTGATCCTGTCAGGTGGCACATGCAACTCCGTCTGTCTCTTCAGAAGATCCAAACTATGGGATGTGATATTTACGCCCCAAACATTTGGAAAAAAACCCACAAATGCCAATAAACAAAGAGTGCAAGTATGTGCGTATGCAGAAGTGCTTGCAGATTGTTATGGTCTGCGGTTTTTGTATGTCTGCATGAACACTTTTTTTTACACATTCCTGATGTATTCCTATAATGCTGAAAATGGATCAAAGAAGACACAACTGTCAGTAAGCAGACTCCTGGACAGATGTGCCCAGCAGTGGGAGCCTGCCAGTAAAAAGCTTCAGTTCACATGACTCAGTCTTATAGCAGATGGTCATTCATTCTGACCATGGTCGACTTTCTTCACGACCCATTAAACTCTGATAGAAAAGACCGGGCGCTAGAATATTCTGTTCTGTAGGCTTGTGTTTGTGTGTGCAAGTGTCTCACTGTACGTACATGCAACAGAACGACTATGTGGCGTTTGGCCCGAGTGGAGGTCTGCGTTCCCTTAGTGCCCTTGTGTTTGTTATTTGATATTATACTTATTGCTATTCTCAAGTTATTGATGATTGTGCAGGAGCCGTAGCCAGCTCAAACATGCAAAGTCGCTTAGTTTAGCTTGGTGTTCAGCCTGAGAGCAGAGATGGTTACGTAGAGCCGTTTTGCAATAAACAAACAAGATATAACTTGTTAATCAGTCAGCGCGAGAGGCGCTTGGAGACTGTTCTTCCCTTTGGGCATAGCAGGTTATTGTTTCTGTCTGCCCTTTAACGTACAGACAGACATCAGAGTGCTGTGTTTGTCCTCACCTGCAGAAATCTGTCTTCCTGTTCTGCCTGCATACACATTTTAAACATCAGAGGATTTGGAAAAGCGCACTGACAAAGTACATTATTACTTCAAAGAAACACTGTGAAACATAAAAGCTACCTTGCATGGATTGGATTGAGGGCTCTAGACACACGTTGATCTGCGTAATCTCAGTAAACACTGTCTTTCTTTCAATTTTCTGTGTGGAGTCATTGGTGTTAAGGTCTATTAAATCCTCATCCTGGATTTACAAAGTTATTTTAACAGCATCGCAACAAGAGTCATTCACTAACAGAAAGAAGATTTGCCCTTTGAAAAGATAATCCGTCTTGCCCGCAGTAATGATCTAGATGGTGTTTTTATGGCGTTTACAGTAATCCCATCTATTCTGATCTGTGACTTCCCAACGCGAGCAAGCAAACCATCCAGATAACTCAACCTCGCTCAGCTTTACACGCGGACATTCTAGTTTTAGCGGCGATCTAAACCACATGATTGCTGTGTTTGATATTCGTAACACATTCAATTATCCGCTTCTAGTAAACAGCCATAGCTTCAGGTTTTTAAAAACAAACATGACATTAAATCCAAACGACACACAGACAGCGAAGGCCGGACGGTGATGGAAGTGGTTGAATGATTGAGCCTTTAGTCACAGCATCAAAGGGGAAATGGTGTTCATGGTAAAAAACATTTACTGGAATCCGGGAGTCCTGGTGGTTCAGTGGACACACACACACACACACACAGACACACACAGCAGATTCAAAGGCCTGCTCTAGTTTACTTAATTACCGACCTCCACCACCACTGTCCTGTTTCCCCTCTCTATTTTTAAGTGCGTCTTTCCCAGGTGTTGTTGATTTGTTTCAAGGAAACTCCACAAAATAACACGTTGTACCACTTCTATTACTACCAATGCTAATAACAATGTCAGAATAATAATGTCAACATAGAGCCATATTGTTAATAAAGCTTTAAGATAGAGACTCCAGGAGTTGTAAAACCAATGCATAATGAATACAGCTCAATAAGATGTACATATGTCAAAATATCTTATACAAACTTACAACAAAGTGCATTTTATTTGGTTCAGTTCCCCAAATTCTATCCTGCTGTCCATTGCAAAGGACGTTGCATAAACAGCTGTTAAGTTGTGAACATCAATACAAGTTTGTTCTCTCTTTGTACCACAACGCAGCGTGATTTGTTGACGATTACACACAAATGACTAAGTGTGCAAAGTTACGTGTGCATATCTAATATGTTGGATTGTAGTTTAAATATGTTTGGATTCAAATCACAGACCATGACGGACTGGTGAAATTTGCTGAGTTTTCTTAAGTTAACGGACTGA